CTTGGAATTTTCTTTAAACCTAATTATGTTTGTTTGTCTGTTTCATATCGATGTGAAAACATCAAACAAAATCACAGTTTGTGGCCATTATCTGTACGTACATCTGGAGCTCAAGATGCTGTCTCTTTGAAGTTGTTCATATTAAAAAGCATATACAGGCGGGGTCACATTTTATTTCCTTGTTATCGTGACCTTTGGCATTCATTTACATGGCCTTTATAACAAGAAGTAATGCTCAGAGATACACCACAGCTGGTAAAAATGAAGGCGATGATTTACAGCTAGACGCGTGTTTGAAGACCTTCAAGTTGATCATAACTTACGCGGTAATTGTAACGACTTCCAAACCAGTGGGAATTTATGACACGGAGATGACACCGAGATATCTTAGATTGATGCCGCTGATGATACCACACGTTCTTGTCACCTGCTTTACTTGACGCGAAAAGACACTCATGGGACAAGTCTTGTCATTCGAACTATTGAAGAATGATAGCCATCGATATAGATTAAATTATATTTATTGAAGTCTGTGTTTATATACCGATCAAATACTTCTAACTGTCATCAAAATCCATCCCATTTGCTGTTTGTTGTTTGTTTGTTTTTTCAAAAAGGAAAAACCGTCACACTGAATATACATTTTTCTGTGGTGATAAGGTGTTACAGTTCTAAGGAAATAAACAAATAAGTAATAGCGGTTGAATGCAATGGTACGAAAAAAGAGTGGGATTCTATTCTTCTCTTTCGTTATTTATGGATTTCATAGTGAATTTTAATATATCATTTTAAACACGGAATCAAAATAGTATATTTTTAATGGCATAAGTGATTGTTGCTCCCACTTTCAGCGTTTCTTTCCTCAGCCGCCATCAAAAGCCTCACATTCCTATATAAAAAATGTTAGAGTAAGATGAAAAAACAAACCTGAACATGATATTGTTTATAACGTTACGACTATTTATTTTGAAACGAGACCGTATCCCATTTAGAAGTTCGAAGCGGCATTCTATTCGGATCAGTGGTTTTCAATAAACATAAGAAGAGATCGCAAACATATTTCTGAGACAGGCCATGACAGACTGAAAATGATACTATAAACTGTGAAGTTTTATTGTCATCCCTACATATGCATCGTACCCTCCATAAAAAAGACAAAAATAGAAAGAAAACAAAACAAAAACGTGACCATGACATGATATTGAGGGGAACTAGGTAAAGAAAGAATGCCAGAATATATTTTATTCGTCTTTTTAAGATACTGTGTTTATTGACTGAAGGTTTGAAACCCTTACCATGAAGTTCATTATTCCTACCGCCCCCGTCCCTCCCATTTCTCTGTATCCCTTTCCCGCATACCTTTTTAGGTACGGAAAGGTTTCATTTAACAAATTTAACTCTAATGGATATATGTACATCTTTTGCAATCATACAATCCATGTTCATATGCATAATGTCACACTTGATCTTTAAAGAGTAAGGAACGGTCATTAAATCCAATATTGTAAGTGAAAATTGTTTATTAAAGAATTGTATGGACTTGAATAATCGAATTGGCATTATATCCACAATTTGTGTCAAACTAAAAAGGTGACAAATTCTTATAAATCTCTAACAAGCAACCACAAAATATTTTTCTAGCCTAAAATTTGGCAAATTCAATACTGAAACGCCCCGCCCCCCGAAGAAAATACACCCTGATTAGTGATTTCAATTTCCTCGCCTCTCTCTGTCTGTAGTGTGGGTCAGCTTCACGACCAGATCAAGCATCATACTTTCATAGCGTAGTACTAATGATTAGAGACAGTCCCTGGTTTCATGGCACGCATTTCAAGAATCCAGAATACCAATCCATTGGACTGCTAGCTTTCATTAACACGTGCGTGGCCAGTGATGAAGAACACATGGATTATAGATTGATATCATTAGGATGATCTATCAATCCATTCACTCACATTCTCAAGATTAAGACGTATGATGTCATTCACAATCATCCTGACGATGATATATAGTCTTCATATGTTTTCTCTCTCGGATGTGTTGCTGAGTGTTTGGTTCTCTTGCATAAAAGATTGCCCAGTTTTAATACAGACCAAGCAGATGGGTTTATCCAGAGACTTGCCCTGGAAGATGTGTTTAATGTTGGGTTTGCCTACAAAACGATTTTGGTTTGAATTCAAACCATGTTGTCGTAAATGTAAATGTCACTCTGTGGTAACAGTGTGATACGTGTATCATATCAAACAGATATAGGAAACCCGTTTCAAAACATTTAGACAGTGTAATTAAGATGGATAATGAAATAGTGTTTCTGGTAGAGACACACAATTAGCCTATAGAGTGATTCAAAACTGTAAGAAACGTGCATAATGCTAATACACACTGATCCAAACACTATGTTAAATAATGCGATTCTAAATTGCGGGAAAAATCAACCCCACGTTGATATAGGGCACGATATTTAAGATGACATAGAATATAGGCCTCCATCTTGATTTTGAGATTACGATCGTATCACTGGTCTGTATCTCTTTCCTTTTCACGCCTTAGCAATTATTGGCTAAGACTATTACTGATGTCAACAGAGTCAAAACAATAACATAACGCTATCATACACATTATACACTAACACATTTTATTATAGGAAAATTTATATCTATCAATCGTTTTCGTAGGTACACCATCGTGTAGCTGACGTCTATTTCATATTTTGAGAGAAACGTAAAACATCAAAGTTTAGGGTATTGATGATAAAGAAAATATTGACAACGAACCGATATTGCAAGCATTCTTACTGTTTTCAGGATTTGGATAAGTGTCATCTTCATTAACTACATTTTAGTAAAAGGGCATAATCTTTTAAAATATATGGTTGTGATAGATATGAACGAAGATATCGTCAGTTAAGGCCTACACGCTAATAGGGACTTTTAGATTTGCACAACGACAACGTGGATTGCTACGATCGACGTCCTTTTAATGCACTGCCTTGAATGGACGTCACACGTATCAGTCCACGCAAATCTAAAAGTACCTATTGATTGAATTTTGTCTAGAGGAGATGACGATGGTGGGTTTTGAAGACTATCAATTTCCAACAATTTCCATGTGCCTTTAATAATAACAATACATACGATTTCTTCGTTGTCAATGTTTTTGAATCTCCTGTTATTGTTTGAAGAAGTGGGTGATATATTACGCTGATTGATGTCAATGAATGATTTTGAATTCCAAACATAATGATTATTATACTAACCCAATTACGGAAGTTATTTAGTACCTGTTTTTATTACCATGATTAAGTTTGTATTACAATTACCCTTTCCTAAGTAAATCCCAAAACACACGAAATAAAGAATATGAGGACAGGAAGGTCAAACAATTTCATGTCATAACTTAGGAATTATCGCAAAGATTAACTTTGACAAAGCCAGACGCCAGGTTTTACTACCCATCGTCCCTGCGGTGATATATTATCCAATAAACTTGGGCAGTAATAGATAAAAACCGGAGTTTTTCATTTACTGCTTCCGAAATATCTAGGTCAGACTCAAACTTTTGCTCCATAAATGCATTAAGTTGTCAGGCCTTAGCGTTCGTCATATAAGGTAGTGCTGGATGATGTTTTGGGTCTGTTTGCCCAGCAGATTCTGTGTATACGTTTGTCAGTATGTTTATTGGGGTCCCTCTCCTACCCCCCCCCCCCCCAAAAAAAAAAGCACCGAGAATCTTATACTGCTATATTTTCTGTAGTTCCGTCAAAATTTAGCGGTTTTCCATGTACAAGGTTCTTTTTTTAGTCATTAGGCCTTTAACGTTAGGACAAACCTTCCCATCCATCACTGCAAGACTTACTTCCGTGACATTCATGACAATGATAGTCCCATAAACCTTGCCGTTATTGACTTATCGGTCGCAGTTCAGCGCGGACAAAAAGTATAAGTGCCGTCCTGCATACGTCTAGCCTTTTCTGACACAAAGTTACAAGTCATATTTCATGATATGCAATTACAAGCTTCTATCTGAAATTCAAGGAAACCATGTGATTCTTAAGGTTCAAAACCTTTTTTGGTCATAGCAGAAACCCCTAAGGGCTTCAGAAAGAAGGTTAAAGGGATCGTTTAACAATGTTAAATCTGAGATACACGGCCCTAAGTGTTATCAGTGTCTGTGATATGGTGTGATATTGAAGCCCTAAAAAAATTGCGCTTCAAAATGATCAAGAAGTGCCTCAAAAAAGTAAAAATCTTTCAGTGACCGGTTTTACCATACTCGTTTTCCCCAATAGACTGTAGTGTTATGAAAACCGTCAGGCGAACGGTTTTCAAAATTTGTAATTCCAATCATAAATATCTTGATAATCAGACAGGCGATCGGCTTGTAAAAGTCATGGGGCTCCTGACTGACCTAAAGGTTTATAATTATCATTGCATCATGAGCTAAATCCAGAATTTTGTTTCAGAATCTGAGACAAAGTTACCGGATCCCTTTAAAGAATGTTTGATAGATTTAAATACAATCATCAACAAATTGACGACATAGCCACTCAACAAATGATAAAGGCTATTTATTCAATTAATTTTTTTTGTTAAAGGCAAAAAACAAATATATCGGTTGATATGTGTACGTTTGCTTTGTATACCATGATGATTTGAATATATCTGTTCTTTGTTTCAACATTTTTTATTATTTACATCACGCTGTGTATATTCCGACAAGCAATAAGACAACATATATATCGTAAGTTTTATGGAGTACCTTGAAATGAGCAGTGTTGCATAAAATCGAATGGTTTAAGCACAATTCTCTTCAAATACAAAGGTCATCGGTTCGATCCCCAACACGGCACTTATGTCCTATGGCAGGGCATTAATCTGCACTTGCCACTCCATACCGATAAATCCAGACTGATATTATTATTATTATTATATTTGTTGTCAAAGGTTTGGGAAGAATTGGATCTTGACATGCGTGTTTCTTTCTTTTTTTCTTTATTACAGGGTAATGTTTCGACCAAAATATACGATAGGATACAGAACAGTAGAAACTACAGAAAGACGGTGTTGTCCGGGTTTTAGTGGCACAAATTGTAATGATGGTGAGTATGGCTATAGCATAATTGTAATATCTTCTCTGTTTCTAAGGTAAGATTGACAAAAATTACAAATTTGGTATCAAGTTTCCAGTATGTTGTATATTGTTGATATTAATCCCACATGTCTTAGGTCATAGCTTGTCTTAGCAATAACTTAGATTTAAGTTTTATGGTACATGCTAAATCATATAATGAATTTTGAAAATGCTTTTTAGAAAGTCGCCTGACTACGGCATTTTTCCAAATTCAAGCTCAGTGATTTTAAAATATTCCCTCAGAGGTGACATAGTTCATGTTAATTTCAAACAATCCCATTTTATGGGTGCATGTTTGGAACTAGACCTAGGGTGGAGGAATTATTCCCTCTTATGTTTTATCAGGAGTTCTTAACGGTGACTTTGTTTGAGCGTAATTCAGGAGGAATCCTGTCTCGTACTTGGACCATGATCTAGTGGACCACCATGGACTATCAACCTGTGTACCTCCCTTTATAGTCTCAAGAGAAGGAGGTATTTCTTGGCTTCCGCTCGAGTCTGCATTTTTCTTCCGCTTTTTGAAGGATGAATATGATCTTAAAGTCTGCATTGATTTTCAAGAGAAAGATAGATGGAGGAGTCTCGATGAAATCGCCTCATTAATCAACCTCATACTTGTTATTGTTTATTGCCTTCGGTTGGTGTTCCCTTGTGTCTGCATTGAGTACAAAATAAAACATTTTTTCTCAAGTCGAATACATATTATTTTTCTCTTCTGTAATGTTTGAAGAATTTTGATCTCATCTCTCCCGAGTACCTACTTTCTCTTTCATATCGTGTTGTTTTATTTTGCTTTATTTGAATCTTCTTTTAAATCTGTATTTATCTTAATTTGCTCCATAATGTTTACAGTTTTTCTCATTTGCTCTTTTTAAAAATTATTTGTCTCATTCGCCATGTACCATCAAATTCAGAAAGTATTATTTATCCGTATTGTTATTCCACGTGTATTTCAACAAAGAGCATTAATGTAGGCCACAAAACCAATATCATTTTCAGTCTTTTTCTCTATAACATTTATTATCAATCAAAGTAATCAAAGCAAAACTTTAAACGGCAGTTAGGGTACATTAGAACATTTAGGAATAGCCTATATAAAAGGAAATGGCATCCACACGTAATCATTTCTGAGTAGGACCTAGATGTAAATAAAAACAAGCATCAAGATACGATTGAAACAGAAACAGTCTTGACGTACAAGAAAAAGATTCATTTGCATAATTCCCTGTTCAAGTGATGAAAATATAATGAGAAGATATATACTTATTCGGAAGTTGTTCCTTCGTTTGTTAACAGCAATTCACTTCCTCTAAATTAGGAAGGTCCTCTTTCTGCATGGTCATTTAGTAAGAGCAGAAAACGCTGCGATTTCCGGGCCTTTTTCATATACACATTAATGTTCAACATTCACACTTATCGGTGTGAAATATATGTAGGTCTACTACATTCAGAGTCTGTCAGTACCACAGGAAACATCTTAACAGAAATGGCATGGCCCATGTTATTGATGAAGGTCCTCTGTCTTCCTTCAACTAATAACACACATTAGTTCCATTTTGTGTCACCATCGCGAGGATTTAGTATTTATGTTTTTCTGTCCTGTCTCCTTTCCCCTTTCCCTATCTGCTCTTTTATCTAAAGATTTCATTATCGATATTTCCGTCAACCTGTCACGTCTGCTTCGCGTCCATGAGATGTAACAGACCATGTTCTGTCCCAACAATACATCACGCCTTGTATGTGTTTGCCAATGAAAGTCTCATACAGATCTACATTCATAACGGTTATATATTCATAAGGTTAAACATGTTGCCTTGTGATGATTGAGAAATAAAAGTTTATTATAGAATATATATTATTTCATATATATTATTGATAGAGGGAGAATCCCACGTCAACTCCAGAATAGGTATCTCCCCACCTTACTGTCTCTTTCTTTCTCTGTATGCCATACAAATGTTGTGAATCATCAACATCATCATCTATCTTTCTCTCTTTCCTCTCCTTTCTCTGTTTCAGTCTTTTGTAAGTCCCTTTTACACTCCCCTTTCCATCTCCATCCCTCCTTTTAATTCACTTTGTTTCTATCCCGTTTCTCCCTCTCCGTCCCTATTTGTCCTTCCTTCCCCTTTTCCCGTTATGTGCAGTCTAATGAGCTTTTGTAGAATTTAATTTAACTATTTAAGGGGATCGGCTAACTTTGTCTCAGATTCTGACAAAATCCTGGATTTCGCTCATGCTGCAATGGTAATTATAAACTTTTAGGTCAGTCAGGAACCCCATGACTTTTACAAGCCGATCGCCTGTCTGATTATCAAGATATTTATGATTGAAAATCGAAATTTCATTTTTCGTTTTCCTAACGGTTTTGATAGCACTACAGTCTTTTAGGAAAATGAGTATGTTAAAACCGGTTACTCAAAGATTTTTTCCTTTTTTAGGAACTTCATGATCATTTTGAAGGTCATTTTTTTTGTTAGGGCTTCGATATCACACCATATCACAGACACTGATAGCATGTAGCGCCATGCATCTCAGATTTAACATTGTTAAACGATGCCTTTAAAGTCTATTAGAAACTGGTCCATGATGCCAAAACTGCTCCTGATCCGATTAATAGCAGACAACCCTAAAAGAAAGCAGACAAATCAGAAAGCAGACTGGTGAAAGTTTGAACGAAATCTGGAAAAAGAAAAAAGTTTGGTTAAGTCGCTATTACTATCCATATTATGGGTACATCCAATTGTCTGAATCGGAAATGTCACTGTGATGTAGTATCGGACAACTTTCCCATTTGTTCCAACTCACAAAATTACTAAAATATTTTGATTTTTTAACAGAACCTGCAATAATATATTCTCCATAGTAAATGTTGAGTAGTGCCCCAAGGGTTAAGGCACTTGGGAGAAAAACAGAAATTAGAAAACTGGATTTATATTAAAGCCTCACTAGACTAATTATAGCTACTTGTGCCCTCTATATAGAAAACAGTGCCTAAGCGGTGACCTTCGGTCTCCCATGGTTCCCTTTTTCTTATGTTAATTGAGAGCTGATTTGATGAGATAACCACCAGCCAGTGAACAAGCAGGGAAGTCTAATCCCTCCTGGCCAAAATAGTGCAGATAGGCTTTAACTGCTTACATTTTAAACTATTCCAAAGAGATAATGATATATGTATGACTTTGTCACTTTTTTCTTAATTGAAACAAACCTATAATAGTTTTCTATTTCATATATTTCTTGTTTAGTCTTCTATTTCATAAGGACCGGTACATGAAAGCAATTTCGATTCTTTTTCTTTGAAGGACTGTCGTTCCGAATATATGGTATAACAATAACCTGTATTAATGTTGTAACTGACGAAGATAAGTATGAGATTATTTTGAAAGATTACGTTTGCTTCCCTTTAACATAGTACACATAATACCTGTCATCATGACACAAACTTGCGGTTTATCAAAAAAAGCTGTGCCAAACTTTTATGAAGGACAAATATAATGCTATACTCTCCTGATCTCGTAGACCCGGTGCAAAACATGGCTGATGCTAATGAAGTAACAAGTCTAGGCTTTTGATGAAGGAATATTTTAATTCTTATTTATTTAATTTCCAAGATACAAAACAGAATAAACAAAAAATACTTATTTTGAATGGCACGGATTGGGACAAGTTTTTTTGCATTAAGTTAGCAAGATAAATCCAACACACAATAAAAAGCGTATTTCTGATTGGCTGACGTATCTAGACTTGATTCAGATTTGCCTATAAAATGAATAACCGTTTTGCACCCCCCCCCCCCTCCCCCGGTTACTGCTTCTAGTGACACCCTTGATAAATTATCGTTGTGTACAGTATTATCGGTGTTTTTGTTTTAAAAAATAATTTACTACTTGGGCAAAGGCAATAATGGATGATTATTGGTTGAGGTCCTCTGTGCATTGGGTTTTAACACGTTAAATCGTGGATGAAATTATCTTGATGTCTTGGTGCCAACAAAGTCTTTTTATTTACTTGAAATTTGTTATTCGTTCCCACGTGGCAGTGTATGTTTAGCTTTCAATGTGTAGTTTAACTTCTAACATTTTCAAATTCCCGATATATGAATAAAAATAGTCATAGATGTGGAGATTTTAAATGTTTCATTCGTAAGTGTCAATTTTCTCAGATGCTGAATGTCTCGAGCTATTTAAGACAAAATATCAAGGGTGAAATTAAATTGTAATTACACCGAAGATGCTTACATACAAGTACGCCATATTAGGAATGATGTAAAAATAAATGTCTACTTTTTATTTAAATGCATAAATGTAGATAGTTGTATCCAAATCTTCGTTGACTTTGGTTTTTGAATTATTCTGGTTCTCATTAAAAGTAATCATTTGTAAGTCTATAAGCTTTCAGTTCCAATTCTGATGATTTTATCAATCTTTGTTTTTTCCTTTTATTTTGCAGCGTGTATGAATTGTTCGACGTTAAATGAATTACAACAAAAAGTAGACGAATTGGTAAGTTCAAAACGAGCATAGTATTCTCATTCATATTATTTTTGTTTCTATTCAACTGAAGAAAGGCAAAATACTTTGGCCACATCAAAAGACATCAGAGTCTCTTGAAAGAGTTATTAGTAGGAAAAGTCGAAGGTACCAGACCAAGAGTAAAACCAAGAAGTATCTCGGAACTAAACATTGAGATACGGAGAGGAATGACACGGTTACAGAAAACAGAGATTTGTGGAAAATGTTGCAATCAATCTACGAGCTGGGAGAAGATACATTGATAAATCGATAGATTCTTCCAACTAGCCTCCCCTCACATACCATCTCTCGCAGTCTCTCCATATCTCTATTTCTTTCTCTCTCTTTAATGCATACTCGTTACGTTAATATTTCGGTCTCTCTCGAAGTTTACGGCGGTCAAAAATAGGGTTTTATCTAAATTTACAGTAAGCCATAGAAAAGGCATTAAGATACACTTTTATGTGGATTTATAATTCTCTCTCTCTCTCTCTCTCTGTCACTCACTCACTTCTTCCCCTGGCCACCTCTAGCTTAGCCGCTCACGAGGCACCTCTATTAGACCTGTGAACAATGACGTTAACCTGGTGAACCCGGGGTATAATAGTGCTGGTGATCGCGGAACGACCACACTAAGAGGGCCTCAAGGCCCACAGGGGCCCGGTGGACCCACTGGCTCAGTAGGGTCTCCTGGAGCTGTGGGTGCTAGTGGACCACCGGGACCAGTAGGACCAAAAGGAGATCCTGGTTCTAGAGGGCCTGCTGGACCATCAGGACCTGCCGGGCCACAGGGACCACCGGGAATTCAAGGTCTTCCTGGGAAGTCCGCACCAGGTAGGCCAATTCAGTATACTCGTATCATTAAAATAATTGGGAAATCAGTTCTCATCTTGATAAATGATTAGATAATGTTGCTATACTTGTATGTCTTAAGACGTATAAAACCGGTAAGCTTCATAAACTACTCTCTGTTAAATTACTTCAAAAAAAATAACATTGATGTTTTTTTTTGGGGGGGGGGTGGGGGGGGGGTGGGGAGGGGTCACCCTGTCCGTCAGATATAAATGAAGCATCATTCCTCTTATCATTTAAGTGTGCTTTAATAAGATTCCAGTCCTACTTCATTGAGTGTCCTTATTACTTGCTTTCTCATGCCAGGAATCGTTGGTCCACCGGGTCCACCTGGTTCCCCTGGTTCAGTTGAAGCACTAGGAATGGTTGTTACGGTAAGTCAAACACTATTGTAGTAAGATAATTAGAACATAAGAACATACGATTGTAAAGACTTTCGAACAACAGCGTGATCGAGGCAATTTCAATAGCCTTGTCTATCTCTCATTGAAATGTGCGACCATCAAATTACGTAGTACGTAACTCGCACATCATTTCTATGGAATACAATTACTAAACAACAAAAAGTCTTGGCGATCATGTTATAATGTTGTATACAAATTACAGCATTATCGTTTTCTAATTTTAGGGTCACCAAACAAGAATTATTTATCGGGCATGTTAGGCTTACCACGATGTGTTGCGAGTGAAATAAGCAAGGATTCAATAAAGATATAAAAATGATTCTTTTCGAAGTTATCATAGCATAGTAATCTTGTCTAGAGACCATGTAAAGGGGCTCATTAATCTCGGTGAAAAGGCGCTCTACTCGTAGAGTATAGTATACATACTACCAATCAAATCACATCGCTAACCACACTTAATATATATTGCATTAAGTGCCACAACTGTTTGGGGTTTTTATTTTCATTTTATCTTCAAATCATACTCGGAAGATTGCGAAGATTGCGCATCAGCAAAGGTTTAACAAAAAATGTGTGACACTTAAGGTGTCCATCCGAAGGTGTCCTAAGATTACTGTCATCTGTATTAATTGACAATTTTTAGCGACTGATATTAATGCAGTTTTTAATATTTTTGTTTGTTCATTTGTTCATTTGTTTGTTCGTTTGTTTGTGAAATATATTGCCAGCTCGTTGTGTTCTATGGTCTATCTGGGCTGTGGTACCAGGCTGTCGGAATAAACCTATTTCTGTCACAAGTTATTTACACCGATTGAGATCATGTGATCACACTTGTTTCCGTTCTGTGTATAAGAATGATACCAAATAACACAAACCATGTGTTCTTATTTGTTGCAACAGTATTGAAGAACGACCTTGTCAAAGGCCATACGTCAATATTGAGATATAATATCAATGGGGAATTAAGGGTGGATTAATAATAATAATAATAATATTGGCATTTATATAGCGCTCTTACAGACATACATGTGTATCACAGCGCTTTACAACATATTATTATTACCCCGGTCATCGGATTCAGGCTTACCCGCACACAAGGTATGCACATTCTCCACTCCCTGGGGAGCATTCCAGCCAGTCGCCATTTTACAAGCGCCACTTGCTAATCAAACCACATTAGCTTTCGCATCCTACCGGGTACCCATTTTAACACCTGGGTGGAGAGTGGCAAATGTAGATCAATGTCTTGCCAAAGGACATTAGTGCCGCGGCGGGACTTGAACCGCGGACTTGTGATCCACAGTCCGGTGACTTATCCACTCGACCACGACACCTCGGATGCATAAAGAAACATTTCCACAGGGGAGGATCTGCCCCTCCCCCCCTCCCGAAATATCAAGTTATGTAGCCGCTTTACGTCTCTCTGCCTGCAAATCGCTGTGTTGACGTTATTTCACCCCGCTTTAGCACCCGTTACCTTGGGGATCCTGCATCCCATTCAATTAGTGATTATTCGATGGAGGAGGGAGTAAGGGGAGGGGGGGGGGGGGGTAGTCCATGTGTATGTTCCGGCCTGCAGAGGAATGATGCGTAATGTTAATGTCACTCTTTCATAATCCACACTTATACATTTCCTATTTTGTACCCAAAAATATTTTGAGCAAAATTATGAATAGCTGGAAAAAGATCTCATTAAGTTGAGGCACTGTGTCGGCTGCCAGTTTTTTCCCATGTATTTTAACTTAAATGTGATTACGATGATTATGTGCGAATGATAGTTGCACAAACCTGTAAATCTCAATATGTTATGTCAGACAGACATTAATCAGTTGAAAGGGGGGCGGTAGAATTCCTCTTATCGCACCCCTCCATCTTCCTGTTTTACATTCTGCACTCCTGTCTAGGAATTAGAAAGGAATTCTCTTGAATCCTGTTTAACGTCACCTGATCTTATAGGTTTAAATCTCCGCGTTTTTAGCGGTTTTCTCTTCCCTCAAAGTCAAGTTTATCTCAAAAATCCTATCAGATAGTTTGAGCTTCTGACGTTTGATCGTTATGAAAGCCCCATCCACTACTCATAGCTTAAAGGAAATCCTGAGAGCAAAACTGTCACATGATGTAACGGTATCGCCACTCATACCTTATGAATCATATCGCTTTTTTATTATCTAGATTCTGATCTCAAGAAAATCTCTCAAGGTGTAGCACTCAACTAGTAAGATTATGTTAACATAAGACAGCCCAAACCATGATGCTAGCGCAAACACCAACATTTTAAACATCATCTTTATGTATAGAAACATCAAATTTATTTGCAACACAAAATTTCTGATATGCTCTTTTCCATGTCAAATAACATAATGTTTTCGAGAAACTATTTTTGTAGCTCATGTTACAATAAAAATACTATCGTCTTTGATGAATTCGATGCGTGAGATGTTTTTGGTCGGCACATTTTGCTTAATTTAGACATAAAAATAGATCCAATAGTTTCTTAGTTTGTTCCATATAATGAAGATGTAGAGTGATGATGTACAGAGAGCAGGTCCAGGAGCAGGTTGTTACACTGAGCTGTCTTGCTTGAAGCGTGAAGTTCAATCTCAAGGGGCATGCTCCCATTTTAGTTTGGACGTAATGGGCGCCACATGGCATATAAATATAGGAGGAGTCAAAAGGTCCCTTGTAAAAAGCCGTTTTAGCCACGCTTGCTGTCAAGACGAAATACACCGACTTTCTATCTTTCAAGAGTGATTGATAAATACACAGCGATGTTAAGAAGCATGTCTGTTGAGAGTGGCTAGGGATGGGGTTAAGGAAGATAGATTGGTATGTGGGTAGTGTGTGCTCTGACTATACTCCATCTCATAAGCTCACTCTTTGGTACATTTCTGTCTACAAAATCCTTCTTCCTCATTTTGATTAAAGCTGATCTGGAGCATGGGAATGGTATGTCGAGAGAACATGAATATATTTCATTCTGGATTGTTTATCCTGCAGTAGATTGATTGTTCGAATCATTAGAATAAAAATAAAATCACAAAAACTTGCTGGAAATCATTCCGTAATAAAAACCACAACTCTCATTTTCACATAGGAACATGGTGTCGGACCTCCTTACCTCGGTTTCCTTATCTATTTCTCTAGACTATTATGCTCATTACTCAGCCCATATACTAAATCGTTTGGCACATTTAATTGTAATCTCGAACATTCAGTGTGAATTTTGTTGGATTATGTGAGAATTGATTCTATATCATTACCAAAACTCAAGCTTATCTTTCAACCTACGTACATTCTGCGTTACACCCTACCCCACAACTTCTCTGTAAATCAATTAGGCATTGATTGTTTTGTAACTAAATGATACCACAAATGTGTGATATGAAAATGATCGATCTGAAACCGAAACTGTTGTTTCTTCTCAGTCGAAGTATTTATTGAGGCTGAGGTTTCACTTCGTGTACACACGAGGCCATCCTTCATTGTATAGATTATTATCTATAAGGCCTATATTAAATCTGAGTCGTAAACAATTCACTCTCCTCCTGCTTCTCTTTCTCCTGCTTCTCTTCCTCTTTTCTTCTTCTTCTTTTTTTTTCTTTTTTTGTGTATATTTTACTGAGAAGGTAAACAAGCCATACATGTACGTTCTCAGGAACTTACGCTTTTTGTCGTGTGAGCGATTGGAATCCATAAAATTTAATTTCCCGGTCAGTTGACGGTCATCCAGGGATAGCAAAACGAAAAACCCCGACAAATCTAAAAAGCTGACTTCACTTTATTTGTCAAAACTTTTGTTCAAAATCGTAGATTATGAATTTGAATTTAGATGCTAATAAAACCTCAGAGTAGGCATTATGCAACCGTTCTTTGTCTGTATAGGTTTCCTTCTTAGTGATGGATAATGAGGATGGTTAACAAAAAAAAAATTATTTAATGTCAGAATGGCATCTGTATCAGGCTTTTAAAACTAAAGTTAAAAAAATCCCCATACTCGTATCGAACATCACCCCAACTAAGTGGATAATTATATCTGGATGTTGACCTGTCGTTCATACAGACCTTGATAGAAATATGTTTCAATCCACCACAACAAGTTTTGAAGTGGACCAGAAGTTATCCAAAATTCCACGCTATTTTGACCTAATCGGATTGAGCGTGTGCAATTCCCCATGGTTTGCCAATTAAAATGGCTTCAGCGAACATGAGTTTTCATGTTTTCAATTAGGACACATTTCTAAGCAATTTGAAGTACTTATTAAAGTCGGACCGGTCTCTATTTTAGTACGTCCTGTAATAGATTTGAAGGATTGCCCTTAAGAGCACACATGGTGCAGAGTAGACAGTTTAACGACTTTCTCCTCCGTTGCCTCTCAAACCCTTGTTCTACATTTTTTGCCCAATATCAATAAATTTCGTACAAACGTTTTACTAAATATTCTTCATGAATAGATCCATTAAAGCATTACATTTTTAACCCGATAGGAAACCTTTTTATTCTTATAATTATGCAGTGTTGTTGCATGATGACTGGTGTCCTGTTGCGCCGCGTTTCCGATGGGAAGTTATTAAAGTAGGCCTTCTCCAGTTTGCAAAAAAAAATAATGACTGTAACTCGTTATAGGGCCTTGTCTGACCAAGGAGATATGAGACGAGCATCGCACCTCCTTGCTCTAACTTAAAGACATATCATGACTATAATTCCAACAGTTCTTGTAACATTTTTCTCTGTTGTATCAGTTTTATGTCCAATGAGATCGCTGATGACGTATGAATCCCTTTTCTACGTTTCAAATGAGTAATTTCTAATGAACAAGCTGCAGCATAAAGATCTTTGTGAGCAAGGTGATAGATATAGCCCTTTCTGGAGTCGGGTTACTTGCACTTTCTACTTTAGGTCTTGTTACTTTCATGACTTTAATTTTTTATCATTTTAATTGGATAGGGATTTAAAAGCTCGATGACATCTTGAGTGTCATTATTATCTATTTCCATGAACAAGTTACCGAGTCAAATAGGTCTTTTGTTTCATCGAGTATCCAGGAATCAACCATTAACTTCTACTGTAAATCTAGTAATAGTTTTTATATCGTATTTGTATTTTGAATGATTTTGAGCTTACTATAGCTTCTGGGTGTTTCACCAAGACTAAGAGCGACTTTAAGTTGGACTTAAATATTGCAGGCCATTCATGCCACTGGTTGCTCTCACCATTTACTGGCATTGGTCTCTCAAAAGACGTACAAATCATGGTCACAAATCTACAGAATATATATTTTTTGATGAGATATTATTGAAGGAAAAAATATTATCTAAAGATCCTATAATGGTGAGAACAACCAGTGGCATTAATAGCCTACCATAGTTAAGTCCAACTTAAATTTAATCTTAGTGTTTGTGAAACAACCCCTGATATGTTTGTTATCTCTCCATGTTCACAGGCTGCAGAGTTAGAAGGACTCCTTCTAGAAATGGCTAAACTCAAGGATCGTGTGGACATGCTCGATGAATTCATCAAGTTTGGACAGGGTGAGATTTTTAAAATTGTTTTTTCTTGCAAATATGCTTCAATAGTTGGCTGTTAAATCCTCTTTAATCATATGCCTACTGTGAATAATCATTATCATTATATCTTTGATTTATGAATATATAATTTATATTCAAAGTTCTGATGATGTGAGACGATCCCACAAGACTGTCATGAACACCGGGATTAATGAGGAACAACATATGCAAAGGCACATTGAATGGCTACAACATTGTTTGGGGCCAAACTAAGGTACAAAATCCTTGAGAGGTTCTATGATCTGTGATTCGACTGTTCATATGAATTTAAACATATTTCTCCCCCTCTTTTTTCCCCCACCGTCATTGAAAGCCTGTTATAGGCAAAATAGACATGCGTATTCGATGCAAATCATAAATGAACGAAAGCATTGTTAATCCATCAAATTTCTACCCTCTATGTGACACTGTACAGGTGGAGCCGAATCAATGAGCGATCAGTTCTTCCCTATGTCAGTCGGTAGTAGTGTAGACATCGAAACACCCAGAACACCCGGTTACTCCATACCAAACCAAGGTACAAACGGGTTCCCGGGTACCGTGGACGTCGGACCACCGCAGGGTAATACTCTGATAGGAGAAGAAGTAGCATCGGGTGCTGGACCAACCGACTCGGCGGCTCTACTCCAAACCGAATCCGATCCCATCCCGTCGGTCTTACTCCGCGGGGATGGTCTTCTTCCTCCTGACGTCATCACCAGGGGGGATACCCCTCTCAATGTGCCCTTTGACAGGGATGTAGAAGCTGCTTTGCATGAAGCACCACAGACACAAATCGAATCATCCTCCATTCACGTCACATCGACAAAACAGAAAAGTAGCAGCAGCAGCTTAGTCTAATGAACATCTGTACTTTCATCAATAAACTTTTATAAACAAAATTGAAAGACTTTCATGAACTATGGCCATCAGTTCTTCTTCTTTTTTTCTTCAAATTATTATTGTTTAAATATTTTTCATATTTGGTTTTGACTCGTTTTGGAATAAACAACAAAAACAACACCGGCACATGGACCTCGGTTCAACGATGATTTTCACCATGCGGTCATAAAGAAATCAGTGTAATTTATGATCTTACATCTTATACACAGAGATCTTTTAATGGATAATGACTTGCCCTCCTACCCCTCCATGTAAAATATAGGCTTTGCTTTTGTAGCTTAGTATGTTGAATACAGTCTTCCATTTTTACTTTCTTTACAAACTGGTGCTATTAAATTTCTGTCTATTACGGCATTGTTGTTTAATATCAGTAACTTTGATTCACGTTGATGTAAATTTTGATCTATGGAGTCCTTATAATTCATTTTTTAATTATGCTACGAGTTTCCTATAGTTGTAATGTTGATATTGAATATTAATTCGTCTGTATTGATTATATTATTACTTTTTGTTCTAGTGGACTAGTTTAATCATAATGTGCTGCATTATTTGCTCTTTAATAATGTCAGAGTATTCACTTGTGTTGCTCTCATAAACGTCTAGTTTGATCAAAAGCAATTATTATGTAGTTAAAGTTGATCGGAAAATGAGAAAAGCCATAGTTGTGTTGATATAGTACCGGTTTTAATAGTCTATCATTTCGGGGTGCTGTTGTTATTTGAGGGAAAGGTGGAGTTAGTAGGATGAATGAGGATTGGAGAGAAAGATACTAGGATATACAGACGTACTTTTGTTTATTGTAAATACACTGACGTAAGTAATTTTTAGAACAAACTATGTATAGTATAGATTGGTTTGATTTAATAGGTGATAGGTCGAATGTCTTTTATTTTTATTTCAATCAATGTGATGTAAATTTGTAAATGGTTCTTATAACTATCGATACTACTCTCATGTTTCTTATTTATTTCGATCATTCACCTACAGGTACACGTGTATGGGAGGTGTTCTTCTCATTCCAACACAGATCGCAACATTAAATTCAGAATAGGCTTGTAATAAAACTAGGACAACGGAAATGGACGGACAGATAAAATAATCATTTATCATGTGAACACTCTTCATGTTACGTCGTAATTATTTTCTCGATTTTGTAATCCTGTAAACTCTACTCGTTTACAAATGTATTCAGATATAGAGCCTTGAAATACTTCATTCATATGATAATGTCTTGGAATACCGATTGTTTCGAGGCTTGCAACCGAGGGAATAAAACTACAGTATGTCGAAGGGAGAAATGCATTGAGATGTACTAGAAAGAAAGTGATTAATTTGGTTTCAGCTCAAAATCTGATGAGATAGTTAAATACAATTGTCCATGGCGACGTATATTTGAGATGATTTGTGTTGCCTTTATAATGTTGCAGCCTGGCGTGCCTTTTGTGATGGTGTATTTGAATTAATAAATGTCAAGCCTAGGTTTGGACTTATTGGAATAATTTGTAGAACGTGTCGTCGTTGCCTGGACTCAAGAGAACGTGACACCAAACACTCGTAAATAATTAAAGCAGGGAGTACATCACATTATAACATATTGTGCACATATACATGTAAAGGAGAAAAGAGTGGATTGATCGGTGGCAGAAATAGTCGTGAAAACAAAACATATATAATGGTGGAGGGGGTGATGGAAGTGACTTTGGTTGCGATAATAATGGTGATTGTAGTGGTGGTATTGGTGGTGGTTATGATGGTGGTATACCTGACTCACACCGACAACAGACCAAACCAAAAAATTAAGTTACCCCTATGGCAAACGATTAGTCAGTTTGGAGTCGGTCTGGAGTCGATTTGGCGGTGTGACTATGTTGTTAGTGGTGGTTGTGCAGGCGGCGGAAGTGGAGGAGATGGTGGTGGTGGTCATGGTGGTGGTGGGGGTGATGGTGGTGATGGTGGTGGTGGTGGTGGTGGTGGTGGTGGTGAAGGAGATGGTGGTGGTTGTGGTGGTGGGTGGTGGAGGAGATGGTGGTGGTGGTGATGGTGGTGGTGGTGGTGGTGGTGGTGGGGGTGATGGTGATGGTGGTGATGGTGGTGGTGGTGGTGGTGGTGGTGGTGGTGATGGTGGTGGTGGTGAAGGAGATGGTGGTGGTTGTGGTGGCGGGGTGATGGAGGAGATGGTGGTGGTGGTGGTAATGGGGGTGGTGGTGAAGGAGATGGTGGTGGTTGTGGTGGTGGCGGTGGTGGAGGAGGTGGTCGTGGTGGTGAAGGCAGTGGTGGCCACGTTGGTAGTAGTGAATTTGTTACCCGGTAATTACATTTTCGACGCCATCTATGTTCATAGTGATGGAAGGTAATGATGTGCATTAAAAAAATATATAAAGTCGATCCGGAAATTGGAAAAAAAAAACATATTTTATAGGCCTACATGTGTTTAGAAAGCACTTCAACAGTGGAAGACGGTGTCTTATAAAAGAAACCTGTGATACCTAAGGGAATTTTAAATACATTAAATGCATTAACCCTATTGGATACTAATGATCCACAAAATTGATATCACATCTGGATTCACTCTTAAAAATAAACTGCTACCTGATAAAGCTCTAATGATATAGATAATCAAGTAACTGTCTAACCACAAGATCGTTGTGAAACTCAGTTTAATTTATCTAAAGCAGTTCACACTTTTGCACATTATAATCTAATTAACAGTTGGCGAAAACAACAATATATACGAGTCCAGTACCGCTGTCTCAATATTAATGAGGAGATACAATAGGCTTGTAAATCATGTGCCTTTATATATAGCTGAATCTTAAAAATTGAATTTTTAAAAGATCTAGTAAAGAGTTTTTATCAGGCTACAATACCTTGAATGTTACAGAGGATTGACTTAAACTCAATCTTCATTACACTCCATACGTTCATTTGATATCATTCATTAATATTTGAATTGTGGTTTTTTTCCAGTGATTCCACCGTTAAACGTAATAATCGCAGTTTTATGCTTAAAATATTCTGTGAGATTTTCATATTTGCAACTCATGGTGTCACTGTGTCCCGGCACTGTGTACGAGTAGGTATTGACTGAGCGTAAACTATTTCTTCATAATTGTCTACAAATCTTACTTCCCTTTAATCTCCTTGAGGAAGTCGGTTAAGAAAGGCCCCATGACATTAATTATGAAATTATAAATGGCCTAGTACAGTCAGCAGAAAACAAATAAGTGGGTTTGTATTTTGCACCCCTGGGTGAAAGGCTGAATTACACCCTTCCTAGGGAATGTCCGATGCGTAATTGTGAAATATTGCCCCCCCCCCCCCCCCGTCTAAAATTTACACTTTATAATTGACTAAGACTTGAGAAAACAGGAGTCGGTTTAAACCCTTCAGATATGATTAGGTTTTTGATAATTGTTGCAAAAGACCGCCGATACAGAGCATTCCCGTCCCAAAATGGTGTATTGGGGGGGGGGGGGGGGGGGGGGGGGGGGGTGCTTAATGGATCGAGGGATCTGGACCTTTATAATTAAAGAATTATCGTCTAGTCAATATGCATGTTTTTTAGGCCTTTTACTTACAATGTCAAAAGACATTTGCCCTGAGATGGTGCAAAAATTGAGTTATTTTCATCACCGACCGTTTTCTTTTCTTCCTTTTTTTAGAACAAAAACAAAACAATAACACAGCTGTAAAATCAGATGGCTCGGTTATCGTTCAAGTACTCAAGACTTTTGAACATTTCCTTCAATGTCAAAAGTGATGTCTCTATCACTTGTTAACAGACCGAGACAGAATCTTATAACATAGCAAGATATCATCGGTTCCCTTTATAAAGCACTTTACTCGGGACCACAGCAAAGCGTTTGAATGCTGCCGAAAGGTAGTTCTTTAGTTCAATACTCCCAACTAGGGGGAGAACAAAATTGAGACAGCCTGGAAATGATTTTGGCTGTAAGCGGACAGATAGATCTAATTTGTAGTAGAGAGTTGTGGGAGACGACTTACTTACAGTAACATTAGTTTGAATGTATTACAGATCGCAGGTCATGATGAGAGATGGTGTGTGTAAGGTGACCTAGGAGAGCAGTAGAACAGGGACCTCCTTGTTGAGACATGCAAGAAAAGTACACAGGGTGTTCAGGAGATTGTTGGTTGGATGGAATCTACGTCCGGGCCGGGAGGAAAGATTTGGGGGATGTATGGTCTTCATCATCATCCTCATCATCGTCGTCATCGTCACTGCAGTCTTTGTGGCTATCGAAATCTTTAAGTTGTCCACCCTCATCATCTTTGGCACCATCAGCGCCAACTTTATTGCTATCATCATCAGAACCACCAGCACCATTGTAATCATAATCTAGAATAAAGCAGAGGGTTTTTAAGGAAGTGTTTTGGGGTCCCCCCCCCCAAGATAAATGCTCATTTTATTATCTGATTACAAAACTTAATCTGTGAATAAATCTTTTATTTCCATGCAAGAAGTATCTCGCTGTTTTTGAAAACTTGTCAAGAGTAAACGCAAATCAAAGGACTGTACTTTTCGAGGAAGACTAGTTTACAACCGACAACCATTCATAAGATCATTACTACTACCCTCAGGGAGAGAACCAGTAGAACTAGAGTTAGGTGGTGAATGCATATGATTGCTAACTTCACTTATTAAAAGAAGTATCAAGAGGCGATTTATTGCAAGAAAATTGATGAAAGAAACCAGACATTTTACCAAGGCTCCTATATTTTATATAAAGCTCTAACGTATAGTACATTTGCCAGTGAAGTGCATTGCAACCCCGATTGCAACACACGACTTGCATAAAATATTAAGTTACTTTACAAAGATGAAAATTGTCATCGCATGCAAGAAGGACTACATGCATGCACACTAAAAACACACACCATAATTGAAAGCTCAAACGATAACTTACCTGTTTGAAGTTTGAGTGTAATTTTATGAGGGAGTAGAGGGAAGAGATTAATTGAGAGCCCGCTTCAACCATGTGCAATCATTCTTTGTAGCCACAAAATGTGTTCGCTGATCCTGAAAGGTCAGATAACTTGTTTGAATTTACATTTACAATGAACGTGAACTAGAGAATACACTCTATTTAAAGGGAGGGAGAGGGGGGCAATTAATCTCTTCCCTCTACTCCCTCATAAAATTACACTCAAACTTCAAACAGGTAAGTTATCGTTTGAGCTTTCAATTTTACTTCGTGAGTCTCGTGAAGAGACTAATTGAGATTTCGTAGCTCAGCGAAACACATTTTGTAGTTAGTTCACATACAGCAGTCAGAGTCCCGACTGTAATGTGAATGTGGATCTGTAGTAACACAACAATTTTTGTTATCATAACAAATCAACTGTACTTAACCAGTACGGTATAACAAATTTTTGGCAACGTCTGTACAACCAACCTGTCAAATTTTGGGTTCAATTCTTGACACTCTGACAGAATATTTTCAGCTAACGCGTAGTTTATTGCTGAAGTACAGCATGTGAGAATTGTTCTCGGTCATCTGTGAGCGGTCTATTATAAAACTGCTGGAAAGTTTTTTCGCTCGACCAGCCAGCTTGGTTTAGAATACATTTGACTGGTACATCGGCCCTGCTAGCTGCCGACACTGCAGCTGATCTCGTGGAGTGTGCCTTGTATTTTCTGGTGTCCACTCCAGCTATAGTTAGGGCCTCTTTAATCCACCGTGATATTGTTTGGGATGAAACTTTCCCATGAGGTTTGCTATGGCTGATGAATAGTTTCCGTTCTTGTCCTCGAACTTCCTCTGTTCTCCTGATGTATGTCCGGAGGTAGTGGACAACGCAGAGTCTCCTATCTGGAGTATACGCCTTAAAGTTGAGCGTGAAACCGTGCTGACCTGGACGGCTTTGCTTTAACAAGTCATCAACCTCAAAGATCACTGAACTTTGTTTCAGTTTCATGTTATCTAGACTTAACAGATGCAATGTTTGAGATCTCTGTGCAGAGATCAAAGCTAACAACAAACACAGTTTGTGGGTTAAACGTTTCAAACTCAGATCTCTAGCTGGTGACCATCTGCGTAAAAGGCCAAGTGCAACGCTCACATTCCATGTATCCTTGTAACGTGGCGTCGGAGGTCTGAGATTAAATGTTCCTTTTAAAAATCTACAGACCAGTGGGTGTGATCCAACGGGATGAGCACTATGTTCAAGAGATATATACGACGATAATGCACTTCTTGCTGCATTTAATGTACTGTAACTAGCTTTTTCACTGTGAAAAAGTTCTGATAGGAAACTTAAAACATAACTAACTGATGTACGAAGATGATTTGTCTTCTTCCTTTCACAAAATCGTTTCCACTTGGTCCAATAAACTCGATACTGCTTCTTAGTAGAATCCCTCCAAGATGCTGTGAGGACGTCAACGACCCTTTCCTCGAGTCCTATATTCTCGAAGGGTCCCCGGATACCCTGCAACATAAAAGATCAAGACGGTCATGAAGAGGGTGTGGGGTTT